CCTGGCTCCAGCCACACAAAACGACTTGCCACTTCTTAAATGTGCCCCTCAGTTTTCGGTCGCTATCTTACCATGCCTTTTCCATCCAATGCCCCCTATCTTTCCTCCTCCACCTTCAACTTTCCTACCATTCATGGCCCACCTAAAACAGCATCTTCTTTATGAAGCCCTTCCTGAATCTCTTCCAAACACCACAACATTTTGATTGCATTTCCCTTGCAACAACAACTTTCTGCCTTGTATTACAATACCTTTCCTGAGATTGTAAGCTCCTTGAGGGTAAGTGCTATGCCGTTTTTGTGTCTCTCCCAAGGGTCTTGCACTGGAAGCACTCAATAACTGACCAGACAGCTAGCTCCCCAGTAAACACATGGGCTGGGAGGCACGTGGTCAGAGGGCAGTCTAAAAGAACCTGCCCTTTGACCATCAACTAAGGAGAACCAGAGTCATTCTGTCATCTTTTGGTTATCCAGCTTCATCCTGCTCAACTCAGATGTGTGTTTTGGTGGTAATGAGCCCACCTCTAGCACTAGCAGTCAGCTGTTACTCCACCCTCCTAATGGTTTCTAAGAAGGCCAAGTTTTCCTGATCAGATCAGAAAATTTCCAACCATTCTTCTGATTCCAAACAGAATACAGATGAAGTCTGGTCAAGTTGCACACTGAATGATCTTTGGCAGCCTTGAAACAGAAAAGAAGCAAGGAAAGGTCAACAACAACAACAACAACAACAACAACAAAAAGGTGTGAAAGGGAAAACACCCAAATCAAGAAGGAGTTTAAAGGCATTCTTATGTGTTCCAGTGCCCCACCCCCCACTGGCACCCGCCCCCCCCCTATTCTAAGCACCAAAAGACATCTTTTTCATTTCCTTCACCAGCTCTCCCTCAGGGTCACTGTCTACCAACTAGCACACTTGAAAGTAAAATACTGTTCCCTTGATTGTCGGCCCCAGGATAGTAACTCCTTCTTGCTTTGCTGTCCCTTATGGAGGGTTCTGCAAGTTTTATTCCTTAATGTAATATATAAAACAGCAGGCCCAGGGTTCCCCCGTCCCTTCTTTTTACATCCTCCTTTTTAAAAAATGATATCCTGACTGATTTGCCCATTTTCTTCCCTCTCCATTGCCTCTGTACTTCTTGGCTTCCCCATCTGTGACCCTTTCCAAGGGTTCGGTCATAGCCCAAATCCACCCTCCTTCTGCTTCTTGCTTTTTAAACCTCTTTCATCTCGTCTTTAAAAATTCAAACATTAGCAATTAATGAAATCTATGATGTGCTATGCCCTGGGACACTAAGTGGAATCAAAGTGAAGACCTACCCTCAAGGAAACTACAGTCTAACTTAAGATACTACAGTGTGGTAGATCTCATACAGAGGCATTTACAGCACAGAGGAGGGAGCAATTAATTCTTCCTGAGAGGTGTCAGAGAAGTTTTGAGCTGGATCTAAAAAAGAAGCAGGGCTTCAAAAGAAAATGTGTATACTTTTTAATTTTTTCAGCAGACACGGAGGAATATCTCCTCTATGCAAAGCCTGAAGCATAGGAGCTACACTTGTAAACAAGGTTCCTGATCTCAAGAAGCTTCCAGCATAGGAAAGGAGTTCTCAAATGTATCCAGTCCTAATAAGGGCAATACAAGGCATATTGTGCCATGGAGAGTTACCCAACTGTCATAGGAGTTCTTAGAGAAATGTATCAAAGAACATTTCTCACTGGGTATGGCAGGCAGAATTCTAAAATGGCCCCCAAGATTCCTGGCCACTTGGTGCACATGTCCTGTATAATCTCTGAGACAGTGACTTGTTATGAATTGTACTCCTAGGATTAGTTTATGTTATATGGCACAGTTTCCCTTAAGTAGGGAGTTCGTCTGGGTTGACCTACTTTTAAGTATTTTAAAAGCTGAGAGGATTTTTTTTATGACTGATTGAAAAAGGGGATATTTCAGAGATTCGAAAAGTGAGTGGGATTTGATGTGAGAAAGATTCTCTGTTGAAGAAATGGAAGGAGCCACATTTCCATGCATGTCTTTATACTTTTACTACACGTGTGTGTGTGTCCCTAAACAAAATTGGTATTGTTTTGCTTATTTTTAAAGGTTGTATGTGGCATCATACTACTTACCTTTTTTGTGCGATGTGTTTCTTTTTTATTAAGTATATTTTATTGATTATGCTATTACAGTTGTCCCATCTTTTCCATTTTGTCCCCCTCCACCCAGTATCCCCATTCCCTCCAGCAATCTGCCCCCCTTAGTTCATGTCTTCTCTATTTCCTATACTATTGTTTTCCTATACGATTGTTTCCTATACTATACAACATTCCCCTCTCTATTTTGTACCTACCAATTATGCTTCTTATTCCCTGTACATTTACCCCCATTTTTCCCCCCTCCCCCTCCCCCCTATAACCCTCTATGTGATCTCCATTTCACATAGAGAACATAAATTCTGTTCTTGTTCTAGTTGTTTGCTTCGTTTTGTTTTTTTGTTTTGTTTGTTTTTTTAGATTCAGTTGTTGATAGTTGTGACTTTGTCATTTTACTATTCATAGTTCTGATCTTCTTTTTCTTAGATAAGTCCCTGTAACATTTAATATAATAAGGGCTTGGAGATGATGAACTCCTCTAGCTTTACCTTGTCTGGGAAGCACTTTATCTGCCCTTCCGTTCTAAATGATAGCTTTGCTGGATAGGGTAATCTTGGATGTAGGTCCTTGCTTTTCATCACTTTAAATACCTCTTGCCAGTACCTTCTTCCCTGCAAGGTTTCTTTTGAGAAATCAGCTGATAGTCTTATGGAAACTCCTTTGTAGGTAACTGTCTCCTTTTCTCTTGGTGCTTTTAAGATAGAGTCTCTTGACCTTTAACCTTTGATATTTTAATGATGTGTCTTGGTGTCGCCCTTTTTAGATCCAACTTGTTTGGGACTCTCTGAGCTTCTTGGACTTGTACATCTATTTCCTTTGCCAAGTTGGGGAAGTTTTCTTCCATTATTTTTTCAAATAAGTTTTCAATTTCTTGCTCTTCCTTTTTTTCTTCTGGCACCCCTATGATTCGGTTCTTGGTATGTTTGAAGTTGCCTCAGAGATTCTTAAGCCTCTCCTTGTTTTTTTTTAAATTCTTGTTTCTTCTTTCTGTTCTGGGTGAATGTTTATTTCTTCCTTTTGTTCCAAAGCATTTACTTGAATCCTGGCTTCCTTCTCTTCACTATTGGTTCCATTTACATTTTTCTTTATTTCACTTTGTATAGCCTTCATTTCTTCCTTTATTTTGTGACCATACTCAATTATTTCTCTGAGCACCCTGATCACCAGTGTTTTGAACTCTGAATCTGATAGGTTGGCTGTCTTCATGTCGCTTAGTTCTTCATCTGGAGTTTTGACCCATTCTTTCATTTGGGCCATATTTCCTTGTCTCCTCAATTTGGCAGCCTCCAAAGTCAGAGTGTGACATCAAAAATATTCTCATTAAAACAACAGCATAGGTTCAAGAACTGAAAATAACACCAGAACAGCAATCTGTTCACATTGCCATTATCACCAAGGCCTTTGGAAATAACAGCAAGTTTCTTCCTGAAAGCCCATTCCCTCTAAGACACCTGAAGAAAAATTACCCTGTCACCCTCTGCCAGCTCAGAGCAAGGTTGCACCAAGAACCTCTTGTCCCACCCAAAAGTATCATAAATGTAGGTGGCTTAGTGGGCTAGCTGCTGTCCAGCTTCAGGCATCTTTCATGGTCTGTGCACCCAGTCCTCACTCACAGGTTCCTACACTCACAGGCCCACACTGGTCACTGTTGGCACCCAATCCTCAGGCTACCCATCCCCCACCCCCAGAGCTGGGGCAGGGGGCAGGGAAAACCAACTGCCTTTTTGCTTTTCCAATCCCCTTTCAAACTGCTCTCCCAGAATTCACCGGCGCCAAAAGCCAGTGGGAGCATCTAGCATTCCAACCAATGAGGGCCACGCGTGGGCCGTGTTGGCTTTTGCCCCTCTTCCAGCCATGTTTAGCAAGCGGATACAGTCTCCAGTCACACGTGCGCACTTACAGACTCCCTCAAGAGCTAAACTGAATGTGTTTGACTGTGGACTGCCTCCTTTGACCCACTCTACCAGAGGTGACCACTCCCTGCAGGAAGGGCACAGGCATGAAGTCAGTGACACTGGAGATGAGCCTCCATCTAGTCATTTACTGGCTTGGTGACCTTGGAAAAGTAGCTTCACCTCTCTGAGCTTCAGTTTCTGCTAAAATAGGGCTAACCCCGTGTGGAAGTGGTGGTTAATCAGAGGAGTGTAGCAAAGAATGCTAATGGGCACCAAAAGGATGACCCTGTGTACTTGCTGAATGGGTGAACCAGTGAAGGACTGTGTGAGGTTATACCTACTGGATATTTATTTACTAGACCCCTGCACTGTTCTGTGTGCTTTACAAACATTAACTTATTTCCTCACACCATCCTTCTGAAGTAAGTGCTATCACACTTGAGATGAGGGCCCTGGGGTAGAGGTGCGCGGTGTCACACCCATGCTCATCCATCATGCAGCTGGTCAGACATAGAGCGCCCGCTCTTTGCCCGAAACGGCGCCCCACGTTAGCCGGCCTGCGAGGCGGAGACCTGACCGCTCTTGGGTCCGCCGTCTCCCTCACGGCCCTACGCGTGCCTCGGGACGGGTGGCACAAGGCGGGCGGGAATCGAACACGACTCCCTAAGCTCTCTTCTGGGCTGGGTTTACCCATCCTCCAGACGCCGCGCGGAGAGCGGGCCAGGGGGCGGAACCGGGCCCCACGGGCGGAAAACAAGAGGCGGCCAGGGCTGGCGGGGCTCAGACTCTAGCGGCGCCCTCACCACACCGCCCCGCCCCTGTCCCCCCCGCCCCCCTGCGCGGGCCTAACGGCCGCGGCGCACGCCACCTCGCGGCGTTAGGGGCAGGGGCGGGGCCGGGAGCTGCGGGCCCGCCCCCCCGGGGGGCACCTCCCCCCTCGCCCCTCCCACGCCTCAGCCCTAGTCGCGACTGCCTGGATAGAGGCCCCCGCCGCTCGCCCCCCTGCCGCCCTCCCGAGCCGTCCCCGTCCGCCCCCTTCAGGCGTCCTCTCTTGATCCCGACGCAGGGGAAACATGGCGGCGGGGAGGGAGTGAGCCGCTCCGCGCTGCTTCGCGTCCGCAGGTAAGCGCCTCAGCGGCTGTCTCCACCAGTCTGGACTGCCTTCTCCCTAAGGGGCCTGCGCGACCGGGGGCCGCTTTGGGAGTGTCGGCGGCGGCGGCGGGACCTGCCAGCCCTGTGCTCCCGCCCCCCGGGACCCGGCTGTCTGTGAAGGGGTCTTTCGGCCTGTCTGGTGCAGGCGCGGCCGCGGCCCTTCCCCACCTTGTCAGCTCGGCCCGGAGCCCCGGCAGCCGGTTCTGCCTCGGTGTCCGGCCGGCGGGGCTCAGTGTCCGGCCGGCGGGGCTCAGTGTCCGGCCGACGGCCTGACGCGGTCGGGGCACCCCAAGGGCCCCGGCATGGGGAACCCAAGGACGGGGGGGACCCTTGGAGGCTCGGCGTCTCGGGGCGGTGGGTGCAGGAGCCGCTGTGTCCAGGCCGGCGGGGCTGGGGTCGGCGGGGGACGCTGGCTTTGAGCCGAGGGCGGTAAGCCAGAGGGCTTCTCAGTCCGAGCGCGGGTCTGTTGGCCTGCAGACGCAAGAGCTGAGGGATGCCCGTGGGTCCCGGTCCCGGTCCCGGTTCGGGACAGAGGACCGAAGTCGGCGGACAGCAGGGTAAACGGCGCGAGGGGCCCGGAGCTGTCAGCAGCGGTCCTCCGGACTGGCTCCGAGCGGCCGGAGCTGCGCGGGGACACTCACGTGTGCCGCTGGGGACGGGCGGGGAGTGCAGGTTTCAGACCTCAGACCGTGGGGCGCGGGCGCTGGGCACCCAGGTGAACACGCTGCCAGGAGGGCCGGACGCGTGAGCAGAGCGCTGGGCCAGCCCGAGAGGAATGAAAAAGGGTTTCCAGGAGATGGCTTACTCCCAGACATCTCCAGACTGGAAGGGAATTTAAAAGCCATTCAGGGTCCGCTTCTCCTATCTCATTACAAAGTAGCTTTGAAAATCTCAAATTGTACCCTGATAATTTGACCGACCTGTTTGAACGCCTCCAGTGATGAGAAACTAACCTTTTCCCAAGGAAACCCAGTCTGTTCCTGGACACCTTTGGTTTTTAGAAATATATATACTTTTGTTTTTGTTGTTGTTGGAAGAGCTGCTTCCCATTCTTCCTAGTTTTTTTCTTAGTTCTTTTTCCTCCCTAGTAGACTCTCTTTTAAGAGACCTGAAAATAACGATGATATCCTTGGAGTCTTGTCTTCTCTTTACTAATTCCAGTTCTTTTACTTGATTATTGTATGTTGTGGTCTCTGATCGCTCCTCTGAATGAGCTCTAGTTTGTCAATATCCCCTTTAAAGGAGAGCTTCTTGATGTAAGAAACTAGTAAGTTTCTCCAAGAAGCTCCTTGTCCCCAAGGGTTGACCTGCTTAAATTAAAAATACTCTAGTCCCTTCCTCATTTCTGTGCTGTTTTGATCTAAAAAAAAAAAAAAAAGTCTAGTACTGTTTGTTCAAACAAATAAAAAGAGATCCTATTTTGTGGAAATTTTGGGGTTTTCCCTCATTTTATAAATGTCTATAAACACTTTATCAAATGAGCTAATGTATATCAAAGTGTTGCAATGCACCATGCAAATAGAAGTGTTTATTATTTTTACTCTGAAGAAGGATTGAGACCCATTTTGGTGCCAAACTGCAATTTAATATTTAGCTGGAAAGGGAAATGCTTTATTATATTGAAGTCTGTGCTCTATTTCTAACTGCCAGCAGAAGGCCCAAAATTACTATGAAAAAGAATATTTTTGTTAGTTGCCAGCATTATTTTTTACTGGCTTTTTCACCACTTAGCCTTGGTATGTGGGGTTAAGTTTTTAAAAAGTGTCTTTTACCAAGGTCCTAAATCCCTGCCTAAGCAATCCTGTTGGTTAGTAATTGTTGTTGTTTTTTTTAAGATTTTATTTATTTATATTTAGAGGGGGGAGGGAGAAACATCAATGTGTGGTTGCCTCTCACGTGCCCCCTACCAGGGACCTGCCCCGCAACCCAGGCATGTGCCCCAGCTAGGAATTGAACCAGTGACCCCTTAGTTCACAGGCCTGAGCTCAATCCACTGAGCTACACCAGCTGGGGTGGTTAGTAATTTTTTAAGCCCAGAAGAATGGTGATTATCTTGTAGACCAAATGCCAGGTTCTTGTATCTGGGACCCTGTTTTGAGCTATTTTTATAACATAGACAAGCACATACCAACAGTCAGAATTGGTTCTTTATCCTTTTCTTATGTCTTCATTTTTTAAGTTGTTTAGTGGTTTTAAAGTTTGTAGTATACATATCAAGTTTTGATTTCTGTTATGTAAGTTGGATAAAAAAATGCATATAACACTATTCTGTATAGACTCAGGAAAAGCTCTGGTTCCTTCCCTTTGAAGGACTTGGAGTTTGGAGTTAGTAGTAGGGAATCCTAAAAACTGAGAAAGAACTGGTGTGAATACCCCACTGAAAATTTCCAGGTTCAGCACGTTCTGATCTTTATTCTACATTTGTGTATCTACTGTGTGTCAGGCACTATGCCATCTACTGTGTTTAGCTGGGTATACTAAGATGAGTAAGATACATTTTCAATCTTTGTGTAGCCATGTAAACTAAATGCTAAAATAGGACATCTCAGAATAAGGGATAAGAGCTATCCATACAATGTCCCAAGGTTAGGATGCTTAGACTAGCCTAGGACTTTAGGGAAAGCTTTGGGGAGAGATGACACCCGACCCAAATCTTAAATGATAAGTAGGAGTAAGTCACACAAAGATGAATAAAAAGTGTGCTTCAGAAACAGAAACTGGCCCTGGCTGGTGTGGCTCAGTGGATTTGGTGCCGGCCTGCGAACCAAAGGGTTGCCAGTTCGATTCCCAGTCAGGGCACATGAGCCAGGTCCCCAGTGGGGGACTTGGGAGACACAACCACACAAACATGGAAATTGGCATGAGGAAAGTCATCAATGAAGAAAAGAATAGCTTGCATGGAGAACCACAAGCAGTTTGGGACTGCCTGAAATTAGCTTCCCCTTGCAGACTCTTTCAAATCACTGAAAGGTTTTTATCAGATATGGTTGAATAACATGTTTAATTGTGGTCACAGGGATGAGGAAAAAGAAATGAAGGCTTTACAATTGACTGGATATGCCAGTGAGACAGTGACGAGTCTGGCATGATGATCAGGTTTTCGGTTTGGGTGACTAAGGGGATAATGGTGACAGTAACTGAGACAGGAAACACTGAATGACGAGTTCAGTTTTAGAATCGAGTATTTTGTGATTTTTTGAGTTAGGTCAATGAGCAAAAGTGGTGGAAGTAAGTTAGAAAAAAGAAACTTGTGGTCAGAAAGTGGAATATGGAAGTTAAATTGTCTGATGTGGAGCTCTTCGTAGGTCTGTCTGTGTGAGCAGCTGAAGTACAGCAGAGGTGAAGGTTCGTGAAGCTGAGTATGACAAGGAACTATGAGGCTGTTTTATTGAATGAATCTTCTGTGTGGATAGTGAAATGATTTAGGGTGCTAGAATGTGGAGAAGAGAGACTGTTGTGACCCAGGTGCAGTGAATATACTGAATTAATCGGGAGGGTGGTAGATAACAGATGAGGAGAAAGGTGGAGAGTGATATAGCCAGATGGCATAAACCTCAAAGGAGGAGGAGTTTTTAAACAAGATAGTGAAAAGTAATGGTTTTTGACTTTTCTTTCCTGGAAGCAGGCTTCTGATCTCTTCATCTTTATTCAGGACTCATATTAATCATTCTGTTTGTTCTGAAGAGTCTGTTCTTAGTCTTGGAAAGTAGGAGGGCAAATATCCTATATCAAATCTTTCCTGCTAATACTTTATGACAAAGGCAGTGGGGTTTTATTCCTGATGATTAGTGGGTGGATAGGAAACAATCAAATCTATCTAGGCTGTGTCACTTACTGGCCTTAGGGCTATAAGCAAATTATTTAACCTCTGTGATTTTCAGTATCCTTATCTATAAAAAATAAATTTTTCCTTCATAGGGTACTACAAAGATTATATAAAATAATGTGTGCATACAGATTATATATATATTTCATATATATATACATATATATATGTAATATATATATATATATGAAAAGCAATTGGTTCTTTGTAGATGCAAAGTAAATGTTAGTTCTCTCCCAACTACCTTTAAAGGACTTCACCTCTACTGGCAGAAATGAAGTTTTTTCATGCTTAACCTAAATTGTAAGGCAATAAACACTCTACAGGAGGTCAAGACAAAGTGATATAGGAATTCAGAGGCGGGAGCTGTGATTCTCAATATTTGGAAACAAGATTAGACATCACTCATATTCAAGATGAATTTCATTTGGGCCTTGGAGAGCACAATTTCAGTAGATTAAATAATTTAGGAGATACAAAGTAGGGAAAGTATAAGATACATTTGTTAAAAAATGGTAGTTGCCACAGGTTTGAGTATTGTATTTGTATAAGTCATTAGTGAGAAATGTGGCTAGGGTGATCATATTAAAGACCTGAAACTATGAAGTTTGGACTTGATTCTAGATATACTAGGGAGGTATAGATTGTATATCCTCTCTCACAACCTCAGTTTCCTATCTGTAAAATTAATAAGCATTAATTCAGAAACTTTGGATTTGTGTTTGAAGCAAACCAAGTAAGAGATTTCACTTTTGGAAATAAATTCCTATGTAGGCCAATTTTAGGTTAAAGAAATAAATACTAAGATTTGTTTTGTAGCTGTAGTTTAGTCTTTGTATTAACCTTGTTTGGTAGATAAGCTTACTGGAGTTAAGATACATACAAAATGCTCTGGCCAGTGTGGCTCAGTTAGTGGGAGTGTCGTCCTGTCCCATGAACCAAAAGGTTGCAGGTTCAATTACTGGTCAGGGTACATACCTAAGCTGCAGGTTCCATCCTTGATCAGGAAGCCTACAAGAGGCAACTGAACGATGTTTCTCTCTCACATCCATTGATGTTTCTCTCTCTTTCTCTCTCTCCTCCCTTCTTCTCTCTCTCCCTCCTTCCTCTCTCTCTAAAAGCAATAAAGTATCTTCTGTGAGGA